TAATCGCCTAAAAATATGGCGCATTAGTGAGTTATTGAAACTCATTGGGAATAGGCTTATTCCCCCCTCCCAACACATAGCTTTCCTGCCGTAGGACGAAAAAGTTCGTAAAGATGTATGTTTCTACTATATGATATAGCTGTACTTTTCTAATCAACTCGAGGTATGCCGACTTATATGTGACTCAGTTTGGTTTTTGAAAATCGATATATATATTTATAGACCTTAGAATTGGTTTCACGGGAGGGCTGAGTATCATCCAGCCCATCCGCTTGGGTTGCTTTAGCTTTTATAAGACCTATAAGACCTATAAATAGAGTCATATCAAATTATATATATATGATACGGTATATTATGTACAGCATTAGAGTTTGTCGGGGATTGACTGTAAACAATTATTGTAATTATCAATATAAAAAGCGGTTTTGTCTTTATTGTGAGGCTGGAGGCGGAGAAGAGACTAATATAAAAGAAATAATTAAAGTCAAAAGAAAGTAGCAAGAAATCGGAATGCATTGTATGGTAAAAGCTCCAAGGTAACTAGATTTATGGTCACGTGTTAGCCCGTGAAACATGCAGGGTGACATCCGCGTCGAGTCTTCCGACGTACGCGCCAGTGTCAATATAAGAACAACCAACTCACTTCCCGCCCCAAGATCCACGTTATTCACTCGTCATCGCTGAAATTATCTCATACCATTATTAACTCCCTTCCCTTTTCGCAGTCTTACACTAAAATTATTCCTTGCCGCTCAGGAAGACAAGACAGGCAACACCACACACATCAACTAGGGACATGTCTTTGTCAACCACTTTCTCATAACAATCTTTCCCTTTCCCTTCTGTCCCATACTCTCCTACGGATACTGTACAAGTACTTGGGTCGCAACATGCTTGGCGAGGGGTTGTCTGCGAGTATCTGGGCTCCCAAGCAAGGAGAACATTATGGCCCCAAACCGGGAAATTGGCACTGCATCTGTGGCTACTCCAACTTTGCTAGGCGCACAGTTTGCAATCAATGCATGGCTCCGAGAGGCAACGATGATCCTTCACTCGGGCACGCATCTGGTATAATCCCACAGCGGCAGACTTCAGTGCATCAGAATGGAGCCAACCAAGTCTACGCTAAAGGACACCCCACACATGCTCCGGTAGACTACAGCTGGCAACCCATACACCATGATGGACATACTGCGGCACTCAAAAGTAGTCATGGAAATCAATCGCGGACCGTTCAGGCGTCAGATTCTTCAACCATTGATCTGCTACATCCTCAGAAATACGGCTTGGCGACGAGTCGCTGGGCGCCCAAGAACTATAGACCAGGACGGCAGCAATCAGATGGGCCTGAGATATGGACACGGGTGCGTGAAGAAGATTTGTGTGACTAAACGTGCTAACAACAACATGAACAGACCGTCGCCAAGCCCAGACCACAAACGAATTACACCTCCCCTCCTGTTTCGAAACCACCCGACTTTGGCCTCCCATACGAAGTACAGCATTATATTCTCGCAATGATTCAACGAATATTAGAGGAGGGGTGCTATGACTTTGCGTCAAGATGGGTGCCAAATAAGCTGTTCGAGTACAACTGGACTTGCCCCGAAGCAGTAGAACTTTCAACATGGAAGAAGATGTTACCCGAAATTCTGCCTCCGAACGCAATCACGGACGTCCCAAACACATCTCTCGAGAAGGGTTTATTAAATGCAGTACGGATACGCAACTCCGCAGTCCACCGTCACTTGAGCGATAATATCGAGATCAAGCGAATGGCACTGCAAGCTCAGAATTTGATGGCGATGTTCTCGGATGTCACGAGGCAGAACAAATTGTATTATTTGCAGATTGAGTTGGGCGAGTGGAATAGTTTGAATGCAGTAGATCCGCAGGCTGCTAGAAGCAAGTTACAGAGTGCGTTACAGGAGATAAGTGAAAGGCTTCTAGATGATATGGATTGGTCACCGAATGCTGTATCACTTGAAGAAGTTGAACCTGAAACTGTTTCAGAAGCGGTACAAGAATGTGTACAGGTAGACTCTTATTGCTTTGGAGATGAAATGGAGTTGGATTAGATACCCCAAATGAGTAATGGTATAGTGATTATTTCAATCTCCTCTCTGTTGTGTGAAAGATGTGCAATTGTTAGGGATTTCTTCGTTTCACTGCCTCATAAACTTACTTCTTGTCACCTGATTACGTCGCCTACTCCGTAGTCGGCAATACATTCTTGGCCTCACCAACCTTTCCTCAACATTTTCCATTATGGCTGCAAATCCTCTCAATGATTGGAATGTCGGTCAAAAATCAGGACCAGTCAGTATTGGCAGTCACAAGTTATGGTTGAGCGTACGTGGTCCAGATCGGAAAGCCGGCCAGCCTCTGGTAATCATCATACCAGGCTTGACAAGTAGCACGGCAGGCTGGGCCGCAGTTCACCGCGGACTATTGCCTTTTACTCGAGTCCTACAATACGAACGATCTGGATATGGAGAAAGTGAGTGTTCGCCTGAGAAACCAACAGCAACAACGATTGCCAAAGAGCTTGATCTGCTTCTCAGAGCCGCAAATATACTGCCACCCTATATCACCGTCGCTCATTCATGGGGTGGTGTTCTCAGCAGGGAGTTTCTGGCCTTGCGTCCTCGAGACGTAGTTGGAATGGTATTCGTCGACGCAAATCAGGAACGCACGCTTGAGGTCTTGGACTGGCGGCCGATTGGTCTGTCAGACCTGATGACCGGCATCGACTACGATGATGCGACGGGGATATCGCAGGCGCACAAGCTCACTGGCGACGAATGGCGCATCTATAAAGACATCGAGGGCACAGAACAACACCGGCGACAAGCCGATCTGGAAATCACCGAGTACCCCAAAAGCCACCCCATCTTGAAAGCCAAGGCTCAACTACACAGAGAGACCCCCATTCTCGGCGATCACCCTGTCTGCGTCATCAAAGGTGACAATAGGGTGCATCTCGAAAAGCTCTTGAATGCTGGCCTGGCTCGAGGCAACTGTGATGATGCCCAGGAGATTTGGTTTCGAGACCTGCTGAGTACGTGGGATGTGAAGGATCGGGCGCTGCAATCTGACTTTTTGCTGCTTTCGACGAAGTCTCGCTTTATCGAAGTGCCAAATAGTGGACACAATGTGCATTTGACGGAGCCGGATTCCATCGTTGAGGGTGTAAAATGGACACTGTCTGAATTTCAAAGGCAGGCGGAGCAGTGATGTTGTATTACGCCAGGGTATATAAAGGATTTGCCCTTTATGAGAACTTAGAGGTCTCGTCTGCGCAAGCATAGCATTGACGTTGAAATTGAATTTGCTATCCAGGGTAAACCTAGTAAAGTTTGGCAGTATGGCCTCCGAGACCATGGAGGTGGATGCGGAAGCGCGAGTAGATACGGGGGAGACGAGAATAGCCACTTGATCCACTTCATGGAGCATATTTACAATGGTTCAAATGTGGAACAATGTTACCTGGAAACACTTTTTGGAGGTCGATTCTATAAAGTTTCTCGTGAAATTCTTTCACAGTTATAGTTCTCATTCCTGCAAAGCGGGCAACCAAAGCATCCGACTCGCCGTAGATGCAACTATCTCGAAGGACTTATTGTTGGTTTTGATCTGCTTCCACCCAGTCCTTGTCCCAAAGACACATCTTAACTGCAAGACGTGGAGGAAGCGGTACAGATTTAAGTTCCATAGTCGTCAGGGGCATTGCAATGAGTGTATATCAATTATCGCTGTGCAACTATTCTTGTCTAAAATAGAGAGCTACCACCTTTGAGCTTTGAAAGAGAGAAGAGCAAGCTTTATGTAAGCGAAATGAATATATCACGTGCCATTTACTGGCTGTTTATCCCCGGATTGGAAGAAGTGAAAGCTCACTAGCATAGTGAAGATGCGTAGGTAGCTGGTAATAGAATAATTTTTTTGGTTCCCTTTTGACTCTCTCTCAAAAATCCGTTCAAGTATTCCTATCAGAGGGGGTCAGTCACGTGAAGCTTGCAAGTTGCTCACCACACCCGGGATAAGCACTACCTACAACATCATCACTTACCTGAGCATAAATCTCAACCTCCTCACACAACCACTAGTCCTCCAAGCACATCCTTTATAATCAGTTTTCACATCCCTAGTTCACGGTTCACTCCACGACCTCAAACAAAATGCCTATCCTAGAACTCACCCTCCTCCAAACCAAACCCCCCACCCTCCCCCACAGACCCCGCAATCCTCACCTCCCTCCAACAAGTCCGCGCCCTCCTCGCCTCACGCGTCCACCCCACGCACTCCCGCTTCTACACGCCCACTTCCCCCTCCGGCGAAGTCTACATCCTCGGGTCCTGGCCCTCAGTCACCGCACACCGAGATTTCCTCAGCTCGCCGATGAAGGACGAGATTTTGGGGCCGCAGGAGGATGCGTTGGAGTTTCGGTGCGGTGTGCATGTGGAGATGGGTGAGGGGGAGGTGCCAGATGCGACAGTGTTAGGGATTTTGCGGGTGCCTGGGAAGGATGGAGAGCGGGTTGTGAGGAGGTATAGACGGGCGGTGGAACAGGAGATGGCGATGAAGGGGAAGGAGAGGACGTATGATATGTTTGAGGGAAAGAGGTGTGATGAAGATGAGGGCGAGCCGGAGAGGGTGGTTATCACGGGGTGGGAAAGCGAGGATGAGTATGAGGGGTTTAGGGAGAGAGCGAGGGGGTTAGATAAGGAGGTTGTGGGGGCGTGTAAGGGGATGAGTGTTGTTCTTGTGAAATGTTTGGAGGCGTGATGTGGAAATGGAAATAGAATGCATGTGGAGGGGAGCATGGGCAAGTAAATTCTAGGTTGCATGATTGATTGATTAATCTATAGGTAAGGAGGTTCTCGAAACAAAGCATTCAAAGCCATTAAGGCAAGCTCATAAACAACTTCAACATCTTGGGGTAATTAGGCGTTCCCAGACCCGTTACCGGATCCCACCCCTTCGTCGAATTGAAGCCCGGCGTCCCACAACCACGATTTCCTCCAGTAGTAATATCGTTCAAAACCTGGGGGTTTGCATATAGCGTCGGATTCAAGAATCCCACTGGTCCTTTCCCCACAGCCAATCTTTCTTCGTTGATCATGTTCACCAAAGATGCGAAGGTCGGCGAGCTGGCGCTGGTGCCGAAAGTAAGAGAGAATTTCCCATCAACAGCGACGACGTAATTAGCACCGTTTGCAGACACGTCAGGATATCCCCGGACAGTTTGAGAATTGTTGAATCGTTCTGCGCCGTAGGGGATTTTGTTCTGAGCAAAGAATGACGACATGGTGTTTTTCTGATATGAAGCCATCGGGAAAACATTACTGAAGCCACCACCGGAGAAGATGACCTTTTCGCAGGCACTTTCTGGTGCGCGGACTGAGGACCCGTTCAGGACTTGAGTAGCGCCAACAGACGTGATATATGGGCACGTTCCCGGAAACGAGGGATTGAACTTTCCAGTGGACCCGTTGTTATAAGCTCCAGTTTGAGGATCGATGCAAGTTCCGCCATTTCCAGCTACCCCGGAATCGCCAGACGAGTAGAGAATAGAAACACCTTGCAGTCCAAGCTTCATATATTCCATGCACTGTCGTTGAACATATTTTGATGTCAAGTCGGCTTCGTTGGAAGAGTAGCTAATTGAGATAACTTTCGTTGAAGTAGAGCCACCACAATTAAGAGGTCCTCGGAAGCCTCCAGGCTGTGGATCAGGATATTGCCCATCTACATTTGAATCCGTGGAGCCGCCACCCTCGAACGTGCAGTAGCTTCCATCAATAGCATCAAGGAAGTTGTTGAAGCTCCCTGATTCAACAGTATCACCGACTTGGTACAAGGTTACTTGTTGCGGCGCGATGAGTGCCATGGCGCATTGGAGATCAAGGGACGATTCGCCATTGACGCTGAAGCTCTCGCTTGTATTTTGGACAATGGCTCCGTCGATTAGATTCGTATTTGGCGTTTTCTGTTTGACATCAGGTGCAAATTCCTTGAACCACATGTCCATGTCAGACTGTAGGAATGCTTGTGGAGTAAATTCCACGATTCCCAAAGTGTTATTCTTACCCGCTGTCTTTCCAGATGGAGCATTGTAAAGCGCCTGTAGACAAGGGGGAGTAATCATTGTGTCGCAATTATCTAGCGTCATCAGAGCATTTTTCACCTCATCGCCCTGCTTTGGATTTGACGCATCACTTGCAAATCCAAGTATGCCAGAAGAGGTTTGGACATCTCGCCTGTTAAGTTCGTACAATGGTTCAGGCAGTCGCTCGTGGGTTTGTGCCCGCCGAGGAGCACCAATCTTCTTGTCAAAGTGAACAGTTGGCGTTATGATATCGACGTGATCCACGAGGTGGGCAGGGATGCTATATTCCTCGCAAGCAACATGTTTGTGACCAGCATGATGATTGTACATGTGGTATTCAGCTTTTAAAAGGCTTTCAGCCTCCCCCACTGTAGCATTAAATTCCATCCAATTCCTGGATTTTGGGGTTTTTATCCGGCTAGGCTCAATCCCAAAGCCATGCAACCAAGATTTGACCGCAAAGACAGTCTCCGGGCTGGGCGAAAATGTCTCTGCGACCTGTGCTGCTGACCAATGTTTGCCATAATGATTGGAGAATGGATGCGAGACCTGGTCGATGAACTCGTCCACACGATGCAAATTCCGTTGAACAAGTCCTATCCTCACGGGAATGGCAGATGTTGCATGTAGGCGACCTTGCTTGGACCAATCTGATGGAGGGGCCGATCGACTTTCGTGTACCACATGGCGCGTTGTTGATATTGGAGATGCAGACACTGCTACCGCCAGGGCAGCAAGTATTTTAACAACATCCTGAGCACGCATGTCAATGTTGCCAATGCTAAGTTGGAGCACCTTATTTCATGATTTCAAGACGGATCTCGTCCATGTATTGCTACATAATGTGGGATATGCTATGTAATATTCCAGTATGACTGTACTGAAACTCTGACCGCGAGGATAGCGGTAGTCCCGGGCTGAGGGTTTCTCATTATGTGTTGCCGTAAATCTTGCTAAGGCTCGCGGACTCAGTGAGACGCGTTTGGTTTGCAAATCGCTCTTGCCACGCAATCGCATAGACAAATCCCCGAGGGACCCACCTTATGCAGAGCAGAATGCTGGACACCAAAGCAAGTGTTCGCTTGACATGAATAAAGTACTTTAAATTAATTGCGATACTCGAAGACGCAAAATGGGCTTATCTCTCGAGTTGCTCGTATGTGGAAGTCAGATATTAGCCTTGGCAGGTAAACGAACAATGGTGACTGCCACATGGCACTGTCTGGACTCGGCTGGTGGGTTCGACATGTTAGAGGCTGAATGCGTTAAAGGCACGGACGCCAGATGAAGCACGGCCTGAAACAATGCCCACAATTTCTCAGGACCCACCAGATTTGAGCTTTGTATATTTCTCAAAAGTCTTCTTCTGGAGGGCTCTCTGTTCATTCACGACTTTCCAAAGCTCTGCGTTCTCTTGGCGAAGCTTTTCATCTCCGCTTGAAGATGTGGCATGTGTAGATGTACTGGCAGGCTGGGCGAATCTGGCTATGGCATCTTCGAGCAAGTCTGCGGGCAGCCCTTGGGTCTCGACAGCGCGACTAAATTTGCTGTTGCTAGCCGTGGTCTTGGACAATTGAGCAGTAAAAACATACTGACCCTCACCGAGCTTAGGCTTGACCACTGTACTTGCCCGAGTCAGTCTCTTTTGAGGGAACGGCGATGACATGAGAAGATTGGTAACAGGAGCATTTAAATCCGTAAGCTCTGATGAGAAGGCACGCCGACCAGTGTCCCACTGGGCAATCTTGCCAGTCGCATGTCCCGAGAAAAGGTATGTTCCATCATAACTAAGACCAACGCATAATGCTGCACCTGGCTCGGATGGCGATATCCAAGGGGGGGTTGTAATCTGTACTGGTGTCGTTTGCAAGGTGGTGTCGTACAGAGGGTTTATAATTGAGTTTGGGTGGCTGAACTCGATGCCTTGCAGTGAGCCGTCTTCAAAACCAGCATACACAGCCCTATCGCACGGATCGAGAGCTAGACAAAATGGTGTTGACGGGAGTAAAAATGTTCGAAGCAAGTCCCCAGTGTGGTAGTTCCAGACGAGTATTGTGTTATCCTTGCTCGCTGAAACGCAGATGTTTGTTGAGCTTGAACTGTGGCCAATAGCAAGAGATGTTATGGCCGCTCGGTGATTGGATAAGCTTCGAAGGGGTTGTTGCGTTTCGCTTGAGCTTAGAGAGAGAAGGCGTGGGATCGACCAAACATGTATATTCGAGTCTTCGGACCCTGTAACCAAATGTAATTGGGTTGCAGCTAGGCAGGAGACAGTTTGCAGATGGGCAGCGGGAGTTGACACTTGCCGGCCGGTACAGACCTAAATGGAGTCAGTGGGCTTCTTTCTTGTATAGGAGCAATGATGCTCACCTCCCATAATATAATCCTCCCTTCAGCGGTTCCTAACACCAAGATGCCATCCCCCACCAGCGCCAGGCTGTGTATTCTCTCTGGAAAGGATATCAAAGCCTCTTGATTTCCCCGCTCCCTCGAATAGACATGGACAACCGCTTTGTCAGCCTGTGCAGCGAATATGTGGGTTGAGCTTGCAACCAGCGAGTTTACTGGTGTGGAGCTCTTCTTGAATGAGGATTTGATCGTGTGCGTTGGGTGTAGTTCGTGTAGATATATGCCGACATCTTTCGCAATCGCCGTGTTGGCAGACTTCGGCTGGGCACGAATTGACGTGATGAGGCCTTCGGATAACATGTCTGTTTTTGCTGTATAGCCAGCCTGAGTCTTGTAGTAGTGGTCTCGAGCGAAATTCTCTGCCGTCCTGGAGAGAGTACAGTACGCAGCGGGAGAATGCGACTTGTCAAATGAAGATCAGGTCTAGGTCTTCGAACTTACAATGCATACATTGGTTGAATGCGATTTGTAAGACAAGGAATACGCAGGGGATTTACTGCTATGGTGGTGGTGGGTGGTGTGGTATCCGTTTCAGATTCTTGGTGGTGACAGAAAAATATATTTACTTGTACGATTCTGGAACAGGATGCGGCCGCGGCCCTGTTTGCTCTGTCGGCAAACTTCTCACCCCTCCTTTTTGCTTCCTTCACTCGCCTCGTCCTTCTTGCCTCTACATCTGGGTACACGTGTACATATATACACCTATATTCTACATTTCCATAGTCCTTTCTTTCTCTGTCCGCCCATGTTAGTGTATCTTACCAGATGAGCAGTAACTCACCATTTCCCCAGAGCAGCCTCCGCAGCCCGCGGGGAACAGATCCCTTGCAGGATCTTGTCGGACACTTCTGATATATCATAAATCTCTCCTCAGCTGCAAGACACGCATATATCTGTCAATTAATTTTTGATCTCACCGCCACCACTTTCTTTCTCCTCGACAAAGTTGTCGGCGCTCCTCAGATAGACAAATTGCCTCCTGTATGATTAAAACCATCGAGCCAAGGGGGTAGGAACAAACCACATGCAGCCTTCACATGAATTGATGTCCCTTAGGGACATTCAGCTTGCCTACACCTTGCAGAAGTATTACTCTTTTCACTTGACCCAGTCTTTGAACTCCTTTGCATCTTCTGCACGTTGACGATGCATGCAAGTCCCGCCCTTTTCTCCTTATATATGTCACATAAAGAACAGAATGCGCACCTCAGTGAAAGCACAAGAGCCCGTTTCCACCAGAAGATTTGTCTCTGGCATAAAGGGTCCTTTAACCCTTCAGCTGACACCTCGGTCGCTAGCAGATGTGGAAAGCTCGTTGCCGTTCAATAGATCAACAGTTGGTTCCCGCAACTTTAAAAAAAACCCCGGAGGATTTCCTGAGGATAGATACTCAGCAAGGCAGGAGGGCAAGTATACTCGACTGCCCTTACCAATCCGAATTCAATACAGAGATACTCCTGTCTACCACAAACCCGGGTCACCGCAACTAAGCAACTTTCCTATCTCTCCACCCAGCTCCTGTGGCGACACGATGGACGGCAGTAGTGTCAATACCGAGATTGACGGAAACTATGAGACTATGGTAAATTTATCTCCCTACTTCCAAGGAGACCCCGAACTAATATCATGCAGAGGGCGTCAAATGCAGGCCAGATGACTGACCACAGAAAATATACGAACTCATGGGCTTCAATTCAAACAGACCTCTGTCGAGACTCGGGGTTATCATTCCAATGCATGGGTGAATCGCCGGTTCCCAATGATGCTTTTTGGTTCAGAAGCCCTTCTGGACACTCTAATGGCAATTTTGCCGGGCCTTGTCCTAGTTCTCGTCCTCTTGTTCTGTCCAGAAGCATGCCGGAAACGAGGAAAGTGGAGTCATGGCTAAGTGACGCCAGCACTTCCGATGACGACGATGAAGATGATGAGTATAATGAGGACGATGTTTTCGTGAGTCTTCTAGTCTCCACTAGGTTTAACTCTTTCTAACATCACCAGGCTCAAGCAACTTCGTTGGCTCCTTCGAAGGGCCGTGTTATTGAAGTGAATACTAGACGTCCATTTAGTCTTTCGATCAGCATTCCTCCAAGGTCGTCGTCTTTGAGGGGTACACATGCCTGGCCGGTTACGCCGAACCTTAGCAATGAAAGCTGGATTGAGGATGAGTCTCCAACTACGCCAGAATTCTGGACCTCACCTGAACCCAAAAGGCAATCTAGTATCGAACTTTTCAGTCCACCTGCCTCGCCAGGTCAACATCAACACGTCTCTTTCACCGATTTCCATCCCGAAGTATTTCCCCTCTTTCCAGATCTAGAACTATTTGGTTATCCACCAACCCCCTCATTGACGTTCACGAATTCTACACTCGATGTTATCGAAGCTCTCGAAGACTCAATTGCCTATTTCCCAGTCACAAAGCTAATGCACGACACACCCTGCATTGTCCGCGTCCGAACACTTCTCGGCCGATCAGATGGACATCTGTCAAAAAGTCCTCCCCAATCTTTGCCGCTTCTCAATCATAATACGCCGTCTTTTCGACCCAACACTCAACACAAACGACGAGTTACATTTAGTACATGCACAACTGATACGAGCGATTCATGGTCAACGTACTCGCAGACCCCTCAGACGGACAATTCTCGTGTAACCTACCAACCCTATCAAAACGAGCCTCCAAACCTAGCAGCACTCCAAGCCCTCCGCCGCATATTTCCAAATAGCACACGCAGCACCTCAGCTCTCTACGCATACATCCTAGCATACATATTTATCACTGATCTCCAGCCGTTCAACGACAGGTCATCAATCAAGGCAGCTAGCATACTAGGAATTTCTCTCGGCCAGCTTGCCACTCATGACAGGCTCGGAGATGGTCAAGTCTCTGCGTCCCCACTTACGAGGTTGGAAAAGGGGCTGATGCTGTGTATCCGCGGCCTTGTGCAAACGATGCGCGAGTCTCCGGTTGGAGCGGAGTGTCTTGATGCATTTTTGCGTTCTTTGGTTGAGGTGGTGAGGGCTTGTGAAATTTCCGCACAGTGAACTTTCTTGTTTCCAATTTATTCATTCTAGGGCTTGATGCTCTCTTCACGTTTATCTTTCATTCTTTGCGAATACCAGGCGTTGTTGGGTTTTGGCTCCTGTAACTTGGCTTGGATACAGCCTTCTTTTCGTTATTGTTATCAGAATTATTGCTCTGCATCGGGATCAAAACTCAGCGCTGGCTCGTTACGTGTATGCGACTCTTTTTTCCCTTTGGGCATATAAATATAGTGTATATTAAGAATACCTACACTGTTTTGAGGAGATCCTAATTTACCGTCCTAGCAAACTTGATGACTTCCAGTCAAAAATCCCAGCTCTCGTCTCGCGAGAAGAGCACATTTCTCATAACAGGTTGGTAGAGGAAGGTTTCCTATTTTATAAAGTGGCTTTGTGACATTATGATTACGGTATGGGTTGATCCTTTGCGATGTCTAGCGAGGGCGGGGTTGCATGTGTTCTGGTTCATTTATGTGTTCTGGTTCATTTATGAATCTACGCTAAGGTTCACGTTCATTTACAAGTGAACTAGTTTATTTATGAATCATAGTAGTTTACCCATGAATGAACCGGAACACATGTTTTCGCCTACCTACGCGGGGCTGGTTCTGCCTCCTTTTCACTTCATTTCTGAGACCAGAACTTAAAGCGGATCTCATTCATTGGTTATATAGCAGTCATGGTGACGTACGTCAATGCATGGAAGTACAAAGTACAAGCCATGTTGCGTACAACTTGGGATTTTATGTCAATCGAAATTACAATGTACCGAACTCGCTTGAGCCCTTGGACTGGTGCGATGAAGACAAGTTCATACTTTCCTCGAATCATTTTATAATATTCTATGTGGCTTGGGCAATGAGATTGCTCTGTAAAGCTCATTCATTGCCTTCGCAGCTAGTGTGGATACTTGCCCGGTAGTCATAGCAAGCACTGCATTGTATCTCAACTACTACCTAAGATTGGTTACTGGAATGAGTATAGCAGCTAGTACGTATACTTCATAGCTCATTGAAAACCCGTTGAAGGTTTCTCTATGAAGGATAGGTAGCAAATAGAAGCAAGTTCAAGCGTCGCAGGAGAGATAGACTCGAGTGTCCAACTAGCTAGGCTTGGCTCTTATATATGCTGTAATTCACATCCGCAAATGTTGCTACCTAGGTACCTACCTCTGCAAAACTCGGCAGATCCGAGGCTTTCAGACCGACAAGTCCCCGAAATATTAGGTGAATATATATAGCCAAATAAGCAAAAGTTCTCCAACAAACTTCAAAACCCATGGATCCGGGTTTCCACTGCCGCTACCCTTTATTGGCTTTGGCTTGAGCATGAGTTTCCTTCTCGATAAAACCCGTCCGGGGGTTTAGTAACAGGTCCCCTCTAATAGGTGACCTGTGAGTTTTGCTATTTCAGTACATGGATTTTTATTTAGCCTTTTCCTTTTTCCTTTTCCCGCAGTTTGTATATTTTCTTTTCATAGCACAAGGTATGTAGTACTTAAGGGAGATAGGGAACCCCTATCACGTGGGTGCCCACGCAATGATGATCGAGAATGGGTCGTAGGATTCAATCACCGTTGCAAGTATCTATGAATCTGATTTGTGCATTCCAAATTGTCCATAGATTGCTTTCGGATCTCGAAAGCGCTCGCGCACTTCAAGGTCAACAGATTAGGGAACTTGTCACTCCGAAGTATAGATAGGAGTGAGTGAGAGTGAGACTGGGCGAGCATAAACGCTGAACTGTTTGACAGAATCTCGGTTATACAACTTTCAACTACCACGTGGTTAAAATATGGAGGAGGGGATTGGTGAATTTGATTTCAATTCGATGTGATGTGGTACATTTCATGCGGGCATTTACTTGAATGTGAACTGATACGTCAATCACATATTTGGGGCCAACGCTGTTTGGGGCTGACCCTATGGGTGACGGATCTTTTGACTAGATGTCTAGTGGTAAGAGACGTATTAGCAGGGGTCCATGTGAACTTACTACATAAATGGACATGGAAGGAGATTACTTCAAAAGTGCTGACAGCAGAAGCCAAATTAGGCGGCTTTTCAGACAAACCAAAGAGAAGAAGAGCTTGTTAAATTCGAGAGTTGTTTTACGCGCGTGATAAAGAAAAAATGGGGTAAAATAAAAGGTAGTATGGCTAGAAATCTGCAACAAAAAGGATATGACTTTGATGCAAATCGGCAGTAGCATTATTAATTAGTATCGTGGAGGCTCTTGCTGAGACCGCTACCCAGGTCTAACCCCAAAGAGAAACAGGTACAAGCAGTAGATCTCAGGGCGTATTAGAACTCGAGATATCCCATGGTATCAATGCGTGCCAGCTTTTCCGGTACTCCGTCATCCATTGTCATCATTCATAAACGAGTGTTTTGCCCCGAATCTAAAAACGCCAAAAATGCAAATGCCCACCGTCTGTACAATTTCCTCCTCACTATGATCATGGTTGTAGATATCCGCTTGCCACCTGCCCTATGCCGTCTGCTGAAGTTTGCACACCAAAATTGTTCTTCAAAAAGCACACAGAGTTTTGAAGTGGGGATGCCGCGGAAAACATGACCCAGCTAGCGGCGATGCACCCATCTGTCTGGGCGCAAAAGTCGAGACATGGCTGAAGTCCACTTTTGGTCTGATTCTTGATGTCTATCGTTTGTCCATCCGCGGGGAGATAATTGGTTTCGCAGACCTGGAGAAATTTCTTCCCTGGGACTGTCGAGTTGTAGAGAGTTTTGTGTACCAAGGGGCACAACGCGGCATCTTGTATCATCGTCGTTGTGCTGGGGGGAGATATGATCGTTGCCGTTGGCATGATTGTTGTGGTGGAAGTGCTGTAGAACTTGTTAGCTTGACCTGGAAGAGCCTGTGGAGTTGAAAGGGCAATTACACAGGTCTATCTTTTGATACCTCCTTCGCGACCATTGCTCCGCCAACACCACCGCCGATTCCTCCGCCAATCAGGAACGCAATAATGACTAGTATGACTGTGGTAATGAAGCCAAAAGTTTTCCTTTTCGTTCTTATTCTCTCCACTCTATCCGGCACGATGTTCGACGGCAAATTGGGCATCGGAGATGGGAAATGTCTGGTTTCCACTCGGTATGGATCGACTTGTTTCTGAGACTGGGTCCACCTTCCAATTCTAGCATTTTCAAGTTTTTCACAGATAGCATATTTATCTGGGTAAACTGGTTGAACGACTTCAGGGCCTTCGCTCGACTTTCGCAGCGGACGCATGGTATGTGTTGTCGTCGCGAGAACATGCAAGCCAGACGATCTGGTCGCGGGGCTTTGAAGGAGTGGGCATTAATTCGCCGATGAAGAAAGAAACAGCAAAGATGAAAACAAAAGAGAGATGCCCAGTCCGAGGTAATATGCCTGAATTCATACTACAAATGGCACTTACCATAGTCGGTGGATCTGTGATATATCTTTCATTGTCTGGAGTCTGGACTCTTGAGGTTCGAGGCGCAGTAGACCTTTCAATACTTTGCTGCATGAGCGCTTGTAAACACATGGAAATCGCGATTGGATCACTTGCATCTGGCAACTGTGCCGTAAAGATGCAGGTACAGCACCACGAGGGGTTCTGAACTGTAAACTCCCAGCATCTCTCTCAGAAACAAAGGGTTTAAGGTCACAATAGGTAGAAAGTAGGAAGCTCCACCGCATAATTTCTTATCCTGACTCTGAGTTGTATATTGCCCAGCCTAGAAAAATCGAAGCTTTGGAATGATTTTGGAGGAAGTTGTGAAGTTCTACAAGTGATGCCAGGAAAAGACGAGGTGTGGGGGACCTTAACCGCGCTATTGAAAATCCATGGGCTGTGCCACAGTGAAAGGGTAACCTGCTAATTTGGCGAAGGCTTGGGCTGACTCACATGATTACGGAAACTTGCACCTGTGTTCCATTATTAGAAACTTTGTTTATCGCGAATAGAATGATTACTTGGTTGGCTGGATTTGGCATTAAAGATGATCAACGTGGGATGATATTTCAGAGCCTCATCATCAACTTCGATATTCTCGTCAATTCGTAAGACTTTCTCAACATGCCAGATAGACAATGTAGTTGTGCGAATACCACTTTCTGGGGAATTTATTCTCATATTACGTTCAATAACACCTTCATCGTTCCATCGCAAGCGTTCCTAGGCTCACTATGTAACAACTTATAAGTATAGAAATGGCCGAACATACTCGTTTGAAACGACTTTCGGCAAAACTAGAATCTCCAGCATGTCGGCAATAAATCAAGGATTGATCTGAAAAGCCATGAGAGATATGCAGAAGTTAAGGAAATCCCGAATGAATTATTGCATCTGCAACTGCTAGAAGTCTCCAATCATGATTGAATTCCAGAGATTCAGATGACTACCTATGAGTCATAGTGATGGCTCAGAGCAACTTCCACAGCTTGTGTCACGTTCTGAAATGATCCGTGCCCTTGAGGTTATTCCCAACTTCCTGCTTCTGTACTCTTACCTTTCCTCTTCATAGTTGTCTTAGTCAATAAAGTTCTTATATTAAAGCTCTACCGAATCGTGATAGCTTGTGTATTCATGGTGCAATTATAGGAGCTTTCAGAAGGTAGAGACGTCTAGAGGAGTGATATCGCGTGAATAAAATACATAACAAGATTATTAGCGGGGAAATAGTTGCGACGAAAGAAAAGTCTCAGTCAATTAGAACTCACGCAAACATGTGATGGATCCCCAACTACGACCAATGAGAAGCCTAGAGTTGTTTAGCCATTTAGGGCCGCAGGGCAGGATAACTAACTACATCAGGTGCTACGCTGCGCTCACTAAGCCACGCCCCACCCTTACGCGGTAAAATACGGTGCAGCGAATAAGAGAGAAGATGGTTCGTATTATAGAGTGGTGAAACGATCCCAGCGCCGGATTCATTCCTCATGGTACGAAGCCATCTGAGAACAACTTCAAAAGCCTGCTTGGTAAAATAGGAAGAGATGACAACGCGGCTTTTGATTGCTCGGCTGTTCGGGCAGGGCCATCCCATCTACCTACCCCCCAGGCAAGAGATATTTTCTCGAATTTGCTGAAGTTAAGTCAAGCTCGTCCAGAAAATTCTGTAACACTACATACTTATCTTGCGCGTTACACCAACTGCGCTCCTATTCCTTGGGAATCCGCTGCTTATTATGTCGTGCTGATTGATAATCTGACTCATCCTTTGTCGACAGTTTTAAACTGAATTGTCCATCGTCACTTTTCGAGCACCTGCAATGGTTGTTACTCACGATGAGGAAGGTGCTGCTTTGGCTTCTGAGCCGACCCTAAATCCGACACTAACACCGACACCGACCAAAAGATTACGATGGGCTACCCAGTATCTGAAAGGCACAAGCGCGACTTCGAGACGGGTGTCTATCATGAACCGCTTGCATCATCGAGGATCCCATAGAAGTGAGAGGAAAAGAGACTCAGGGGAAGCCGTCTCTCTGGGCGCCAATATCAACAATGTTCAGGGAATCGCGAACGAGAACGCTGACCCAATCGCGGAGAGTGATGAAGAAGAACGGCGACAGGTCCACTTCAACGTCCCTTTACCTCCAGACGCATTGGATGATAATGGTTACCCTAAAAAATCTTACGGCTCGAACAAGATCAGGACAGCAAAATATACGCCTTTGAGCTTCTTGCCGAAGAACCTTTGGTTCCAATTCCACAGTATTGCGAATGTATACTTTTTCATCTTGATTATCTTAACCGTAAGTGAAAAGAACCAGTTATTCTATGCTCAGCTAACCAAATGTTAGATATTCCCTATTTTTGGCTCAGCCAATCCTGGCTTGAATGCTGTTCCCTTGATAGTCATTGTGGTCCTCACTGCCGTCAAAGACGCAATCGAAGACTACAGAAGAACAGTTCTCGACCAAGGCTTGAACAACTCCCCAGTTCATCGACTAGTTGATTGCAACAATGTTAACGTGGGCACCAATCATATCTCATTATGGAGGAAAATCAAGAAGGCAACCAGTCGATTTATGGCAAGTCTTTGGCCATCGATACGAAATTTATGGAAGAAAAGGGGCCAAGGAGGTATAGACGATCCATTTGACAACGTACCGGGAACATACGAAAACCAACAGAGAAACAGAAGGCAGTCCGCTTTCTCGGCGCAGAGCATACGAACTTCATTCGCTCCTGAACATGACAATATTCAAATGGCCCCCGTTTCGCCACATTCACCTCGTCAGGAAGGTCTAGGCGTCCCTACGCACGAGGAAACCATAGCAATGCCGAAAGAAGGGCAATCTCCCCCTTCCAGCAAAGCTTTTGGTTGTCTAATCAATCCGAAGTTGCCAACTGCCGGTAAGGCTCGGTTCCAGCGCGACTACTGGAAGAATATCCAGGTGGGTGACTTTGTTCGCATTTATGACAACGATCAATTGCCTGCAGATGTGGTAATTTTGTCGACTTCTGATCCCGATGGTGCATGTTATGTTGAAACCAAGAATCTCGATGGGGAAACAAATTTGAAGGTGAGACATGCCCTCCGTAGTGGCCAGAAAATCAAGCATGCCCATGACTGCGAAAGAACAGAGTTCATCATCGAAAGTGAGCCGCCCCAAGCCAACCTGTACGAGTACAGCGCTGCTGCGCGCTGGACACAGTACGACGACAAGATCCCAGATTCTGTAGGCAAGTCAATGATTGAGCCAATCTCTATCAACAACATGCTGCTTCGAGGCTGCAACCTGCGAAATACGGACTGGGTCCTCGGCGTTGTGATTTTTACCGGTTTTGATACTAAAATCATGATGAACTCTGGGTTGACGCCTAGCAAGCTCTCTCGCGTTACACGAGAACTCACTTATAACGTGATCTACAACTTCGGTGTTTTATTCGCCATGTGTGTGGTTTCTGCCATCATTGAAGGCGTGGCTTTTGGCAAGTCAAACACCAGCATTCAGGCTTTCGAGTTTGGCTCTATTGGCAACTCACCTGGCGCCGATGGGTTTATCACTTTCTGGGCGGCGCTCATTCTTTTCCAGAATCTGGTACCTATCGCGTTATATATCTCCATGGAGATTATAAAGACCCTTCAAGCTTTCTTTATCTATAGCGACATAGAGATGTATTACGAGAAGCTTGATTATCCTTGTACTCCCAAGTCCTGGAATATATCCGATGATCTAGGTCAAATTGAGTATATATTTTCCGATAAAACCGGCACTTTAACTCAAAACGTGATGGAGTTCAAGAAAGCTACTATTAATGGTGTTGCGTACGGAGAAGCGTATACTGAAGCTCAGGCTGGAATGCGAAAGAGGCAAGGCATTGATGTTAGCAAAGAAATAATAAGGGCACGCCAAGAACTTGCTCACGCCCGCGACCAGATGCTAGTGAAACTTCGCCAACTATACGACAATTCATACCTTTACGATGACGAGCTAACTTTTATTGCTCCTGACTTCGTCGACGATCTTGCTGGCGAAACCACTAAGGAGAGACAACAATCTTGTCAGCACTTTATGCTTGCTCTTGCCCTTTGTCATACTGTTATCCCTGAAAAGTCACCTGGAGACCCTCCCCATATCGAGTTCAAAGCACAGTCACCTGATGAAGCAGCCTTGGTTGCCACAGCTCGAGATGTCGGGTACACGGTGCTGGAGAAATCACTGGACGCCATACAACTGAATTTGCAGGGACAGGAAATATCATACAAAATTCTGAACACCATAGAGTTCAATTCTACGCGAAAACGAATGAGTTCTATTATTGAATTGCCAGATCGAAGAATCGTACTTTTCTGCAAGGGCGCAGACAGTATGATATATTCTCGTTTGAAGCAAGGGGAACAACCAGGGCTACGTAGGACTACTGCCGAGCACTTGGAAGTCTTCGCGAGGGAGGGGTTGAGGACCCTTTGTATTGCCGAGAGAGAACTTGGCAGAGCAGAGTATGAGAGATGGAACCAGGAATACGAAATCGCCTCGCAGGCAATTCAAAACCGGGAGGACAAAATGGAAGCTATAGCGGATGCTATAGAAACCGAATTAACGTTGCTGGGAGGCACTGCAATCGAAGATCGTCTACAAGAAGGTGTGCCTGATAGTATTGCACTCCTTGCCGACGCGGGTATCAAGCTTTGGGTCCTCACTGGGGACAAAGTCGAGACTGCGGTCAATATCGGATACTCGTGCAACCTCCTGAATAACGACATGGAACTCATCATCTTGAGGTTCGACGACGACGAGTCAGCTGAGATAGAGCTTAACAAACATCTAGCATCGTTTGATATGACTGGGTCTGACCAAGAACTTGAAGCGGCAAAGAGAAATCACGAGGCTCCTGCCCCAACCCACGCCATTGTCATCGACGGAGATTCCCTCAAACTTGTACTAGGCGAACAACTGCGGCAAAGATTTCTGCTTCTTTGTAAACAGTGTAAATCAGTCCTTTGCTGCCGGGTGAGTCCTGCGCAGAAAGCAGCTGTCGTCTCGATGGTCAAATCTGGGCTGGACGTTATTACCTTATCAATTGGAGACGGAGCTAACGACGTTGCAATGATCCAGAAAGCGGATGTAGGCGTCGGTATTGCAGGAGAAGAAGGCCGTCAAGCAGTCATGTCATCCGATTACGCCATTGGTCAATTCCGTTTCTTGCAAAGACTGATCCTCGTTCATGGCCGCTGGTCATATCGAAGGATAGGGGAGTTTATTGCGAACTTCTTCTATAAGAATATTGTGTGGACTTTTACGCTGTTTTGGTACCAGATCTTTTGCGACTTCGATATGACGTACCTTTACGACTCTTCCTATATCACCCTCTTCAATCTAGCTTTCACCTCTGTCCCTGTCATCTTCATGGGTGTATTAGACCAGGATGTTAGCGATACTGTCTCCCTAGCTGTGCCACAACTATATCGTCGTGGTATTGAGCGGAGAGAGTGGACTCAGACTAAATTTTGGTAAGTGATATCGATCAAGGAAAAAATAATAACTAACAAAATTTCAGGTTATATATGCTTGATGGCCTTTACGGATCAGCTATATGCTTCTTTGTAGCATATCTTCTATTTCTAAATGGCAATTTTGCTATAGACTCCGGCATTAACATCGATGACCATGAAACGTTCGGGGTTTTTGTCGGCCCAGCTGCAGTCATGGTTATTAATCTGTATATTTTCATTAATACCTACAGATGGGATTGGCTCATGGGACTTCTGGTGGCAATAAGTATTGTATTGGTATTCTTTTGGACAGGGGTCTACTCTGCTTTTACCTCCGCAGGGTACTTCTACAAAGCCGGTGCTCAGACTTTTGGCCAGCCAGCTTTCTGGGCGGTGACAATTCTGTCGGTTGTTTTATCTCTGATGCCTCGATTTTGCATCAAAGTAATTCAAAAGGTCTACTTCCCGCGAGACATAGATGTCATCCGCGAACAGGTCCGGCAAGGAAAGTTTGATCATCTTGATCGTGGCAACAGGCCTGGCGCAATATCAAAGGGCGCCTCTGCAGCTTCATCTCGTACCGCAAAGCTCAGTAAACACACCCAACATCCCAGCGAAGACCAACGGCCATTTTACCCACCGTCCATCGCCCCAACTGCGACAACACACAACGCCCGAAGTCAATATGGCAGTGATGGGACAGAATATACGCGCCATATGTCGACGTCAGATCAGCCGCTTCCTCGGACGTCGACTGATAAGACAAGGCCATCATTCGAGGAGATGCGCACCTCTATGGATGTCATGCGACCCTCTCACGAACAGAATGATGATTTCACGTCTGCGGCAATGCTCACACGAGTAGAATCTAGCCATTCCTACGCCCCTAGCCAGAGCAGGAAATCATGACATCGAATGGCCCACGCAATCACTCCTGAATGGCAAAGTATCTCAGCGTGTGCAATATAATATGGCTTGGTCCTTCATAAAGATAAGGCATCGAACCCCAAGAAAATGCATGAGCTATTCCTGACATGGACCTGGTGGACTTTCATACATGTCTTGGTTTGCTTGCTGGAAGGTCATGGCGAGTTATGAAAAAAACTGGGAAGATGGCAGAACCTTTCATTCCGTTGTTGTAGATTTTGATGAACAGATTGCGATTGGCTACTTTCAACTCGGAAGTTGAAAGGAAAAAGTCGGGAATTGAGTAATACATAAGCCTAGGCAGAATGATAGGGTATCTGGATTGAGAATTCAGGGGTTTCTCGCTAAATATGGCTGGCGTACGGAAAGGGACCTGTAATTAGTAAAGATTTGGGGAAGTTTTATAGCAGTACAGATTCATTCTAAGTAAATTAAATACAATCTCAATATCTCTTCCCTACCATTATTACCGAGTCATTCATACTTCAAAGACAATACCTCATGTCAAATACTCAGAGCCTGAGGCACGAAATGCCTTAGCGCGAGGTTACACTTAACAAATCTTCTCTCGGTCCTTGGACTAAGCTTTCTTTATATCAACCCATTGCCAGACCTACGCCTCGCCGTGTCTACAATACCCACGGTTTGGCTGATCGAGTCAAGTCTACTAGCTAGGAACTATGTCATTGGTACATAGTATCCCGTGACGACTTACTTGCCTGCCTGCTTATAAATCATAGGGAATCCCGCGCTTAGGTACAGTACAGTACATACGTGCGTCTGCACACATCTACAGTACATCTCCGGTGACGGCACATCATTTTTCGGCTTGTCTGTGATAATCCTAGAGACTGATTCCATACTTGCTTTATTTTTCCGCGCGTATAGTCCAGTCAACCTTGGCAGAGCACCGTTTTAGCTGACGAAGCTCTGTCGTGCGGGGTCATCGACATGGACATGGACCTGGACGCACCTCGTGGTCCTCGCCATAGCAGCAGTATAGTCGGAAACTCTCGTGGCTGTTGGACTTGCAGACTCCGGCGCAAAAAATGCGACGAGCAACGCCCTGTGTGTGACACCTGCGCTGCACTCCATATCAACTGCTACTACAACCAAGACAAACCGGAATGGATGGATGGCGGCGTGAGACAAGAAGAGATGGCCGAGGAGCTCAAGCGCGAGGTTAAAGAAAAGGCACACCTCCGCCGTGGGGGGCGCGCGCTTCATACCTCTAGCATCCGCGTCAGACTTCCACTCGAAGTTCCCCAAATATCCACGGAGGCGGCTAATCACGTGGACAATCTCTTTAAGACATCTTCAAATGACCAGGAACCATACCTCCGACGTGGGCCTGATCCTACGCTCACCTGTAAAGATGCTGGCGAAAGTGGAAGTCTAGCTTTCGGCCAGTCCGACACGGTTCTTATCATGTTTTACCTTGAGAATTTATTCCCCTTCCTGTTCCCATTCTACCGCCCCTCTGTTCTCCACGGTGGTAGAACATGGATTCTGGAAATGATGATGAAAAGTCCGGTCATGCGGCAGGCTACTTTATGCCAAAGCTCCTATTTTTTCTCCCTCGCGCATGGCACGACCACTCGCGATGTAGTTTGGGAGACAGTGCTCAAGCAGACCAGAGATGCATTTGGTGTGCTAGGACAAGCGCTGCAAGTCATCCACGGGTCAGAAATCACCGAACATCTGCACGGCGCTATCAGAATCATGGCAAGCATTATGCAGATACAACGTTTCGAGATCGCTATCTCGAGCTTTGGCAACTGCCAATCGCATCTAAATGCCGCTTTGGCCCTTTTCAAACAAGTCCTCGAAAGCTCTGGCCCTGTCGATCCGGCAAGGCTCAGTTCAAACTTCAACACTATCATAAGTCAGCTAAGGCCTTCATGGGCTTACCCTGCCTGCCAGTCTCAGTATCTCCATATTCCAAGTGCTGAACAGGCTGCTTTCCGCTTCTCGTCGGCACTTCTGATATTTGATGATATTATTGCTAGTACAGTACTTCTGGAGCAACCTAGACTCTACGAGTACCACTGCCGTCTCCTTGGTAATATCGATGGCACTGGCCCAGCTATTAATCTTGAGGCTGTTGTAGGATGTCAAAATTGGACGTTACAGCAAATCAGCGAGATTTCAGTGCTTGACGTGTGGAAACAGCAATGTAAGAGAGCCGGAAGTCTCGATGTCATGGAGCTGGTCCGCCGCGCCACAGCAATCAAGGACTCGTTAGAAGTGCAACTTACGCAGCTCGAAAGTGATCCAGTCGTCACTCCAAAAGAAAACAGCAGTTTACTAGATTTTTTTACAGCAGACTATGGCCAGCACCCCAAACCACCGGCCAGCCAGAACTTTTTGGTTACTCGTGTCTGGGCGCATGCAGCGCAACTTTATCTATTTATCGTTGTTTCCGGATGGCAGCCCGCTAGTATCGATGTGCGTTATCACGTTGGTCGAATTATCGAGCTGCTATCGCATCAAATATCACCACCAGCATTGCTGCGCACCATGGTGTGGCCATTCTGTGTAGCGGGCTGCCTTGCAGAGCCAGCACAAGAGGCTCGATTTCGAGGAATCGTGGATAGCTTACAACCTCCAAGCGTCTTTGGCACGGTACGTAAGGCATTTGAGATCATGGAGGGTGTATGGAGCAACAAGGACACAGGAGATGCTGCCGACCGTGACCTAGCTAAGTGCTTTGGAAGCCAAGGTGATCTGGTATTACTTGTTTAAAAGAATATTCATGTAAGACACGAGGGACTTCTCTCTGCTATTTTCAGGGTATTTGATCCAACATTGCCAACGATATTGAATTTCATCTAACTTTCTACTAGATCTTTATCTCAGCTTTTAACGTGCACACCTGGTGCACTAAGACTCTAGACCTTCACGAATGATCATTAAAGCTTGAACTTCTTACTTGAATTGGACATAACCCTTGCCCTTCACAAAAGTGGCGTGCCAAGGAACATTCCCCTCATGGTTTGCCAACTGGGCAAAGAATTCGCCATGGGCAGCGCCGTCGATCTCATGCCCTTTAATTGTACCATCTTCCTTGCGCTCATCGGCATATAAGAATCTAGGGAGCCGAGCATGTCAGTACCAATCTACTAGGGAAACTTTGTTTGGAAACTCACCGAAATCCTCGGGCTGCAAGCGTCATGTCAGCAAGCCCAATCCAGAATGCCGAAGCCGACTTGCCCATGCCTAAGGTCAACATCATTGGCATGGGAACAATGGAGACGTTCAAGATGTTGCCGGTGTATATGAATGTCTTCTTGGTGTCCTTGGGCAGTGTCTCCCAGCCGCTGATAGCCTGCTGCGCTGCGACGTACGGGCTAATAGTGTTGATGTTCAAATCAGACGCAACTGTCTCCGCTGGGACCGAAAGAACTATGTCCTTATCGGAAGGCATGGAGAGCGCCGCTGCGTTGTAAATAACGACGCTTGGAGCGGTGTGGAATTCGGTCTTAACTGCATCGAACAGTGCTGGGATCGAGTCGGGCTTGGTGAAGTCTGCCTTGAGGGAGAGGAAGCCTTCGGCGGTTTTGGCGCCTGTTCCCTTCCTAGACGCAACTGCAACTTTGTAGCCGTTGCTTGCAAATGTCTCAGCGACGGAGGCGCCAATCCTAGGCCCAGATCCGAGGATAAGTACAACAGAGTTTGCTGCCATTATGATGTTTTTTTCTAGTCGATGGGAAATATGAGTTTCCAAAGTTTTGGGCTACAAAAAGGCTCAGATATGGGATGGAAGATGGGAGTTATGTTGGAGCGGATACGCCTTCTCTTTATACTCCTCGGAGTTCAAACGCAACGCTTTGGTTCCATCCATTTTCCTTCCGAGGATTTGAAATCAAGCCTCTTTTTTCAGAGGGTTGGTGTATGGGGAATAATGTGGGAGCCTTTCTAATCATGTGACCCAAGCTAGCTGACTTACCAATGGGATAACCTTTTTGTGTTGCAACCACCACTTTTAGCTAGCTAACCAATAACTAATAAAACTACTAGTACCATTAAATACGGACCTACACGTGTAGTGAAGTGATCACCTTGTGATACCAACAGTTGGAGACCATGCAAGTGACTACGTTCTAACCGGAGTTGAAAATCGAGCAGGCGCAATAGCATCACACCAATCCTCATTGAAGTACCGAGTAACTCAAGTTGTACGATACAGTCGACACTAGTCTATAAGCCGCGCGCATTAATCCGCAAATATGCAGGCCGCGCGGGTGGGTCCTGCAAGTTACATAAGCCGCGCGCGGTGGGTCTGGGCTTTTAATCCACTAATGCCTCAAAGACATTTTGAGAGTTATGGAATCGGATGCGATTGGCGTAAAAGAACTTATCAATGCGATAGTCTGCGGAAATGGTTTCGAAACTGAATTTCATCACACAGAGGCGTGCATACATTGCAGGACATCGAACCCCGAGCACGCGCGCCGGCTTTCTGAATTCCAATCATCTCCGTATTTAATTAGGGATTTATCAGCTTGCTGGCTGAATGTTGGCAGTTATTGATAACGATGTATTCGCAGCGCGCCTATTTATTCTCTTTTTCTCCCAAGACACCAAAAAGTGGGGGAGAGCAGGACATAACAAGTTATGTCCCTGACGCCATCACTTAACCGTTCAGCTATTCGTTCAAGATACAAATACTTTGCTGTCCTCCTTGTCAGCTTTGCCATCCCTCTCATTTATCGCACCGCCTATCCGTACACAGGAAGCATCTGGCAAACCCCCACCGTACAACCAACCACACAAGCCGCAAGCATGGGTTCTGATTCCTCACGTCCCAAAAGTTCTTCACGAACACCCGTTTACTTCCTCGGCATTGGCGGGCCCAACTTCATGGAAAATACGGAGCATCCTGCGTATTCTAAACTAGCGGCAATCGGGCAGGAGATCACGACGAAAGTCAAGCCAAAGGCAGTGGTCGTCTTCTCGGCTCACTGGCAAGACGGCCCGAGCAAGGTAAGTATCAATGTCGCCGAGCAGACGGATATAATTTATGATTTCTACGGCTTCCCACCGCATTACTACGAATACAGGTTTCCGTACAAGGGGAGCCCGGAGGTTGCTGAAAAGGTAATTGAGAAGCTATCGGCTGCTGGTATTGAGGTTGAGAAAGTGAAAAGAGGTCTTGATCATGGCGTGTGGGCGGGCTTCATAGTTGGTAGGCTATCATTTTCCTGAGTCAAAAATATTATAGGGATTCCCTTGCTGACACTGACAGCTTTTGATCCAAAGAAGAACCCTCTGAATGTACCAATCGTGCAAGTCTCGCTGTTCAACAACGAGGATACCGATGAACATTATCGAATGGGCCAGGCACTGGAAGGCCTACGAAATGAAGGTATTTTAATCGTTGGCGCGGGAATGGCTGTGCACAATTTGCGTGACTTCCGCGCCATACGGGACACCGGGAAGACCATGCCGTAAGGGAATCCCACTGGCAATATAAGACTGTCTGCGTTCCTACTAACGCTATTTAGTTACACTTTCAGCTTTGATGAGGCATTGAAAGAGGCTGCCAGTGCAGAGCCAGAGGAACGTCAGGCGAGGATGTTGGCTTTGATGGAGCGAAGTGACGCCCGGAAGGCACATCCAAGCTTGGAGCATATTCTTCCGATTCATGTTGCTGCGGGTGCTGCAGGCTCGGATATCGGCCAACAATTGTGGACTTTTCCAGAATTGAGTCTGAGTTGGGCGCAGTATCGTTTTGGGAAGGTTGAAGCAGCGTAAGATAGCAGCATCAAACTGAAGCAATTTAGATCAATAGGCATTTTTGGTACTCGGATGAAGATGACCGTCGCTGATCAATTCCAAGAATGTGATAGTATGGTTAGGATGTCACAGTTATACATATTGGTTTGGGAAATGGGAAAAGCACCAAACCTTGGTACAGTAATAAGGCATGGGTATAAGAACTGAAGTAAGGCTATGGTATTAAACGTGCAGGTTTTACATCAGGTCAAATGGAACACGCGCCCAATGGAAAATGGAAAAGGACCCATTTCATGCTACCACATTCCCATGATAGCAATCAATCATATAACTCGTTTCCGGCAATGCTAACAAGAGAGCAAGACCTCCAATCATCAAACCAACCGAAACCAAAAAATAGCTGGGAAGCATGCCGAGCCTGACTTAAATGTGACTGGCAGAGAGTTAACCTTGATACCTGCCCTGATCATGGAATTAGTATATTCTAGCCAAGATTTTAGGGGTCTGCCAAAAAGCTTGCAAGTTCATAGAGACGAGTTCGCCATTGATAGGGTTCACGATGAAACTGGCACCCTTCGGGAATGAGATATCGAACCCAGCCGTGATATCAATCGCCTCTGTAATCGAGAGAATAACGTCGATAGTAAACAAGAAGCCGAGTTTGCTGTCGCTGTCATCAAATTATTGAAGGTCAGTCGATATCTCAAAGCAAAGCGAAATCCTAAATGATGAAAAGCCCATTCCGGTACCTCTTAAGCTGCTTGTTAAGATCAAGGTTCGAAGACTTACCCCAACGCCCACTGGAGTTTCCGAAGTGAAGATGTTCATAGTGTATGTCTCACCAACCGAAAATTGGATAATTTTCGAACTCAAAATGACCACCGAAGTTCTCAAGTGACACCTCCAAATCCAAATCGAAAGCCACTGCAATAACTTCTACCTTATCCGGTAGTAACGCTAAGGCGATTATATCACCAAGAAGAGTGTCGTTCGGTTCATTCCCAGTCGTACTAATAACAGCTGATCCAGTAGTATAACAGTCAAGACAAGAAGCAGTTACAGATAGTGCAGCACCGACATTTCCAGCTGCTGCTCCTATGGAACTATAAAGAGTCGGCTTCGCGCAAAATCGTTTTCTTCAAGCATAATCACCTCCGGGCAAATGGTTTGGATCATCCAAATGCTGGCTTTATAGAGGTTCTAGACGAGCCATCAGAGTCTGCAATAGTAAGAGTCTTTCTAGTGTCTGGTCGTCTTTTCCGGAGAGTTAGAGTCTCAAGGTTTGCGGTTTCTGGTTAAGTTTAATAGCATCCTAGAGCTAGTAACATAATCATTATTCGATCTGTTGGAAATTAATTGGGGTTTTCATTAAGAGTTGGGCTGGATTAAGCTAAGAGAATATTTTATTAATATAGTTGCGGGCGCAAGTCCAGGTGTCATAAAGACTGTATATTGGGGTGGAAAGGATAGTAAGAAGGTGTAAAGCCCCCCCGCATGCCTGACATGCAGGCTGCACTACTTGCTGGCCAGGTTACGCCACAACACAGCCTCGTGGGCGGCGCCTACGACCACGACTGCATATCCTTCTCAGTTCTTTAACGTCTTGACCTTCAAATAACAGTGCTTGCGCCAATTTGTCAAATTTGTAATACAAGTCGCGCTTGCTATAAGATTGCTCGCTAATCTCCAGCATGTCTCTCATACGCCTCCTGCAACGCAAACCCGACGGCGAGATCGTCTTTCGCGAACCTACCAGCGGCGAAGTCCCTGCCTATGCAATACTATCTCATACCTGGGGAGAAGAGGAGGTTATCTACCAAGACTTGAAGAAGGGCAAGGACAAGAGCAAGACTGTGAACAAGGCTGGGTGGGGGAAGATACAGTTCTGCGCGAAGCAGGCCCTAGTAGATGGGCTTGAATACTTCTGGGTGGACACCTGCTGCATCGATAAGAAAAATGCAGTTGAACTTGGCGCGGCGATCAATTCCATGTTTCGGTGGTATCAGAATGCTGCGCGCTGCTACGTCTACCTGACAGATGTCTCTAAGCCGGACACTGGGACGGATAACCAGCGGGCATGGGAAAAAGCCTTCAGGGAGAGTCGATGGTTCACTCGAGGGTGGACGCTGCAGGAGCTCATCGCACCAAGGCTGGTTGACTTTTTTAGCTTCGAGGGTAAGCGACTAGGGAACAAATCATCATTCGAGTCAACGATACACCAGATTACCGGCATCGCGAATAAAGCTCTCCGAGGTGATGCATTGTCGAATTTTAGTATTAAAGAGCGGAGATCCTGGGCAGAGCGCCGTAATACTACGATTGAAGAGGATGAAGCCTACTGCTTAATCGGGATCTTTGATGTGTCTATGGTGCCAAATTACGGGGAGAGAAGGGACCGGGCATTTAGGCGACTGGAGGAAGAGATCCATAAGCTGTATAAAGGTAAGTCATTTACATAGATGTCTTAAATGAAGCAATGAATCTGACCAGTACAGGGATCGACTTTGAACAACATACTATCGAGCTTAACCTCGCGTCATTTCCTATCGCCGTACAGCTTATTGGCAGAGAGAAGGAGCTATCGAAGATGCACGAGCTACTTCAAGGTCAAAATAGTCGATCCTGTGCCGTCCTGCATGGTCTTGGGGGCGTAGGAAAGACCCAGCTGGCGATTACATACGCCAAACGGCACAAAGAGAAGTATGCAGCGATCTTCTGGTTAAACGCTAGTGACGAGGACTCTCTTAAGCTGAGCTTTCAGGGCATCGCTCAGCAAGTACTCAGGCATTATCCGTCAACTACTACGCTATCAAGCATAGACCAAGATAAAGATCTCGATCAAGTTGTTAGTGCGGTCAAGGCTTGGCTCGATTTCTCGCGGAACACAAGGTGGCTTATGATCTATGACAACCTCGACAACCCTAAGGCCCCTAACAATCCCGACGCCTCAGCAGTCGACATCCGTCAATTCCTTCCTCAATCTGATCATGGCTCAGTTATTATTACGACGCGGTCAGCACGAGTTAGCCAGGGTGAACGAATTCATATTCAGAAATTGCTAGATATCAAGGATAGTCTTGAGATTCTCTCTAATATGTCGGGGCGTAAGGATATTGGAAATGGTATGTCAAGATTGTTTTATAGTAAGAGTAGAGACAATACTAATAGGATAGATCCTAATGCTATAGCACTTGTTAAGGAACTAGACGGCCTGCCACTTGCTCTATCTACAGCAGGTGCATATCTTGAGCACGTGACGACAAGCTTCTCGGATTACCTTCGGCTTTACAAGACATCATGGTTGAAGCTTCAGACAACAAGCCCCTTATTAGATTCCTATGAAGATCGCACATTGCATACAACATGGCAAATCACTTTCGATCGGATCCAACAGCAAAATGGGGCATCAGCAATACTACTCAAGCTATGGGCATATTTTGATAGACAAGACCTATGGTTTGATCTCCTTCGACATGCAAACTCTGCAGATGATGAATGGATACAGAAGCTTACAGAAGATGAACTGAGCTTTAATGAGGCCATCACTCTACTATGTACTTTCGGACTAGTTAATCCAGACAGACCTTCTCAGCAGAAGGTCGGATCTGGAGGATATAGTATACATAGCTGTATTCACTCATGGACGGTGTTTGTGCTCAACAAGGAGTGGGACAAAAGCTTTGCATACCTGGCCTTAACTTGTGTAGCCTTGGAGGTTCCTAACCCAGATAAGAAAGACTGGTGTCTCTTACAGCGGCGTCTCCTTCAGCACGCAACACGACAGGCACCCTTTATAGTAGATGGCAAAGTAGATGTAGACAGACTACATTGGGCTCTCTACTCTCTAGGAAAACTCTACGCCGACCAAGGCAAGCTGGCCGGGGCCGAGAAGATGTATATCCAGGCGCTCCAAAGCAAGGAGGCACTTGGGCCAAACCATATATTAACACTTACTACAGTTAATAACCTAGGCAATGTCTACACTAACCAAGGCAAGCTAGCTAAAGCTGAGAAGATGCTTGTCCAGGCGCTACAAGGCAAGGAGGAGGCACTTGGTCCGGATCATATATTAACACTTAATACGGTTAATAGCCTAGGCAGCCTCTATTCCGATCAAGGCAATCTAGCTAAAGCTAAGAAGATGTTTGTCCAGGCGCTGCAAGGCTATAAGGAGGCACTTGGGCCAGACCATACATTAACACTTAGTATGGTTAATAACCTAGGCAGTGTCTATTACCAACAAGGCAAGGTAGCTGAAGCTAAGAAAATGTATATCCAGGCGCAAGAAGGCTATAATAAGGCACTTGGGCCGGACCATATATTAACAATTCATACGGTTTATAACCTAGGCTTGCTCTACGCTAGCCAAGGCAAGCTGGTTGAGGCCGAGAAGATGTATTTCCGGGCGCTGCGAGGCTTTGAAGACGCTCTTGGCCTTGAATTTGCATCATCGCATTTACTGCCGTTACAAAATATGATCGCCTTGGGAGACCTCTTCTCGCAAACCGACCGGAAGGACATGGCAAAGACAATGTATAATCGAGCGTTATCTGGTTATACAACCGTCCAAGGGCCCTCTTCGGATATGTGTAAGCAAGTTGAAAATCGGCTTCAAGCGTTGCAAATTACATCTGCCGAGTCGGAGCCTGGAGCCGCAAAGTCGAGGTCTTTGAAGCAGAAACTCCGCGAGTTGGGAAGGCAGCTGAATATTAGATAGGCCATAAGGGTTTCTTTCTCACGACTCTGTTGTTAATGTTGTTTCATGGGGGAATGATCTTAAATTGACTGCTGTTCTACGGTGGGAAGTACGCGGTATATAGGGCCTTTAGGCCCTAGCATTTCATAGGCTATGCATTCCAACAGTTAACTTACACCTATTGATGAATAGATCGGACGTCTCTTTTGACTTCTGGTCCAGAATCAACCCCCGTTGTAATAACCCCGCACAGCCATTATTGTCCCCACTAATGCCGAACAGTAAAAGCTTACTACGCTGTCAGCCGATCCTGGCTGGGTTGCTGGTCCGTGCTGATACAGATGAAAATATCAATACTGATTTCCCTTCTATAGGGGCGTTTTTCTTGACGTTTGACCGTTTAGTCCAGGCGGCTCGCTTATATCCGCCGCCCCTTTTCCCACCATCTAGCGTAAGGGCAGCTTCAGAAGGAAGTAAGTGAGAAGGGTTCCATAGAGCTAGTTAACAAGTCGATTTAACAAGTACCTACTAGGTAGTCTAGTTTGCTATCTGACATCCACTATGAATTTCTAGTTCTCTTAGTAACTTCAATTCAGTTCAGTTCAGTTCATGTGTAATTCTATTGCAGAGCTCCTTGAAAATTGAATTGTAAACATTTTGTTTATCGAACAACCCGAACCCGAAGACCCGTGAAGAACCAAGTTTTAGTTTAGTTCTAGATGAACACTTGCATGTAGATTCAGACGACCTTGTTCCCACTTACGAAATAAATCCCTAGTTGAAGTCGAAAATTCCCGTGGCCAAGAAAGAAACAATATCATTTTTACCTGTACGCCAGGGATCCTACTGAGCAAATCCTAGGCGACCTGTTAACTAGAGTTCGATTTACTACACTGTTGCAGACGGGCTACGAGGGAGTACGCATGCCACGGCAGACTGGTAAGAGCAATGGCGTTGACAAGTAACCTAGGAAGGATAGAAGACTTGCGGGTAAGAGAAGCAAGTGATCAAAACTAAATCACAGAACGAGCGCACAGGTACAGTAGAAGAAGATATATGCCTTCCTGTCTGTATCCACGTCCAAGGGTATCCAGAAGACCCTCGTCAGAAATCTCTCCCTCTCTCCCTCCGTCCCTCCGTTACGTATCAGGCAATTAAAGACGTTGCATCCAATACCTACCTCCACCTCTAGAGTTTAGACTTGCTATTCCCCTTGGTTTGATTGAGGATTATAAACAATGAATGAACCAATCATAGCTTTCTACTTAGTAAATTCTAAACCGTAAAACAAGCTTAATATATATATCCCCTACCCAGACTTATCTTTCACTCCTTGATTAGCTTCTAATGTATATATACTGTAATGTACTGTATAAGACAAGACAAGATAGCAAGATAAGATAAGATACTCCTACCCAGGCCCCCCCAAAAAAGAAATCGAAGTCTGTGTCTCGACTCGAGAGCAATGAAAGTATACTGTATGAAAAGCTAAATCTTTAAGCAGTCTGTCTATAACTTTGCATCTTTATCTCCAACTTCCTGCTTTGCGCGCTCTCGTAGGACTTTTCGCAAGATCTTTCCGGACTATATTTGAGATAGATTAGTTCTGTTAAGTGATATGTTCTCAAAAATGAGTAGGTACAGTACTTACTGGATTCTTCGGCACCCCATCCACCAACACCACACCTCCAGTCAACCTCTTATGCCGACTTACCCTCTCCGCCAACCAGCCCGCCACCTGTGCCTCATCCACGCTCTTCCCCTCCTTCGGCACCACATACGCGCGTGGCACCTCCTCGCCCTGAATCGTCACGCCAACCACACACGCATCGGCCAAGTGCGGGTGTTCAAGGAGCACGGCTTCTAGCTCAGCGGGCGCGACTTGGTTGCCTTTCACTTTGATGAGTTCTTTCATGCGGTCGACGATGAAGAAGCGGCCTTCGTCGTCTACGTATGCGATATCGCCGGTTCGCATCCAGCGGCCTGAGGGGAGGTCGACGAACATTTCCGAGGTGGCGGTCGGTTTTTTCCAGTAGCCTTTCATGAGACTGGATGTTTGGTGCATTAGTTAGTCAACGCTTAGAGAATATGTAGTATGTGGGAGAGGGAGGTGTACTTTGGAGCCTGGACCCATATTTCCCCGCGCTCGCCGATGGGGAGCTCGGTCTTGCCGTCATCTGTGGACATTATCATGGCGCTGCAATTTGCGTTTAGTTCGCCGACGGAAGAGGAGGGTTCTCGTTTGTTGGGGTCGCAGCCGAGGATTGAGCATGTTGCTTCGGTCATGCCCCAGCCTTGCTGTGCGTGGGTGTGCTATTAGTATGGGGTTTTCATGGGATGGAGGTGTAAGTGGAAAGGGACAAGACAAAACGAGACGAACTCCCAAATGCACGTTTCCTTTGGGCCATAGAGCTTCTGCTTCCTTGACGACTTCGCCGGAGAGTGGTGCTGCGCCGGAGCCGAGGTCAGTGACGCTGCTGAGGTCGTATTTTCGTGATAATGGGGATTTAGCAAGGGCCTGGATTTGGAAAATTAGTGATTGGTGAATGAGGTTTGGATCGCGGAAAGTAAATGGCTTACCACGACAATGGGCGGTACCATGTTCAGACTTGTGATTCTAAACTTTTGAACCGATTCGAGCATCTGGACAAAGTCAAATTTCTTCATCACGTAGACTGGAATTCCGCGTTTGGGACCGCCGGCTATGAATATCGTTTGGGCCATTGCGTGATACATTGGGAGGTAGCATAGCCATTTCCTAGTTCTCAGGTTAGCATCTCCTTCCACACTAGTATAGTATGAATAAGACATACGCCTTCTTATTTCTCTCAACAATATCCACATGCAACTCCTGCAGATGCGCATACTGTGTCGTATTCGCCACATACGCAAAATGGGTAATCATCACCCCCTTTGGCACCCCAGTCGTCCCGGAACTATAATTCAAACAACAGGTATCCTCTATCGGATCCGGCACTTCATACCACTCAAACCCCTTCCCAACATCCTCGCTCTCCACCAACACATTCCAATTCCTCACACCCAGCCTCGATCCTCCCGTTCCCTCGAATAACTCATCATCGAAGCGAAAAATGCGGTCCCTACTCATACCAATACTCTCGGCGGCTTCAATCCCCATCTCCAAACTCCCATCCGCGCATATCAGGAACTTTGCTTCCGAATCTTTCAACTGATATGCCAATTCCCGCGCCACGTATCCCGGATTTGCACCCGTGAAGATTCCACCCGCCATAAGGATACCCATAAACACGACAGGGAAGAAAATGCTATTCCCGGAGAACAGCAGAACGCGATCCCCGGGTTCCAGACCTGCTTTTTGCAAGCCGGCACCTAGACGCTGCGACCATGTTTTGAAGGATTGGTGGGTGAGGAAGTGGGTTTCTGGACGGGAGGCATCGAGGAATGCGGGTTTGTGGGGGGTGGGGAGCTGGGAGCTGGGGGGGCCGAAAATGTAGGTTTGGAGGGAGCAGGTTTCGAGGGGAATTTGCCAGCGGGAGTGGATAGGCATGGTGAGATTTTATGGGGAGTCTTCTGGGTCAAAAGGGTAGGGGTGGGGAAATGGATTGGGGTAGATATATGTGATGTGATCAATGGGTGAATATGCTTGATTGTAGTATTTATACATGTACTCGAGCCTGCCTGATCAAGATGGGGAGACAGGAAGTGAAAGACAGAGGGTCGAAAGAGAAGAGAAGAAGAGAAGAGAAGAAGAAAAGAGGATGGTAAATGTGAGACAGAAGACATGCAGCTGCCCGTCCCCCGCAGTACAAAGTGTGGGGTAGCATACATACCCGTTGCCGGTGCCGATGCACAGAGCAGGGGCAGGTGGACATATTACAGGAACAATTCAACCGACTACAATTGATCCGAACTTGTTGATACTTTCCCGAAATCGAAGGAGAATCCAAGACCTTACTTGATTGGTATGCATAAACCTTTTTGATGATCGTTATTACGGGGTATCATGTGACCTATTCATGTTTCCAATTAGATGCCAGTATTCAACAAGACATGAATCTAAAATCTTAGTCGGAAAAGCTTTGTCTACCGTGTCACAGAAGAGAATTTGGTGTTTGAGGCTCGTGACATGCCAGACATGCAGAACTCACGGTACCCGTAAGGAGGAGATGGAGATGCAATATGGCGAAAGAAGTAGAAAATTGCCTGATTTTCATCAGATCAGCATGTAAAGTTAACCGAGGAAAGCCCCTGAATGTTTAGCGTCCGAGGCGAGGTTGCTGAGCAACGACTCGTACTCGTACTCGTAGTTCTTGGGTAGACGCGACTCAAACTGCATCTAGAAGCCAAGGCAACCTCTATTACTCCTCTTTCTGTTCTTTATCTATCCTCTTCACACTCATTCGTACATTACAGAGTAGAAAGTTTATGGTGTGCGCCTGGGATGATGAATGGGCGGCTACGGGAATAAGTGCGACAAGTGTTGCTATTTTAATACTTTGGAAGAATACCTCGATAGGGGTTTCATCTACGGGGACTTCAGGATCGAGAGGGGATAGAAGAAAGAACTTAAATACCTTCAGATTCAAATTGCATCTATATATTCACCGTTTATACTCCGTAGAATAATACATATATGTATATATAAACCTCGGACATATTACGGCAACTTTACAACCTGACTCGTATTCGTACAGTATTTCCGTATTTTTCTGCACACAATAAAGCTTAAAGCAGCCCAATGACGTACCGCCACCACTTATTAGGGAATAGCCAAGAATTAATAATGGACGTGCATCCAGCTTCCGAGTAAACCGGAAAAGAGGAAAACCCCCTTCACTCAACTACGGAGTACTGCTATTATCACCGCTAAGCCAGACAGTTAACTGTCCTTGGTGATAGTGAGAGTGATATTCATATTGTTCCAACATGAGCGATAATAATCATCTCGCGCCTCCCTCATCCTCGGCCTCGTCGCCTGCAGCAGGAGCAGAGAGGCCGCGTTCCCAACAAAGTCAGAGGAGCCATCGCACTGTGGCCTCACACTCAACCACCGAAAACACCAACAACAATACCCCCCAACGCCCAGACTATACCAGCGCCCGAGTATTCGCATTCGACGGCTGTCGGCGGCACCGCCTATATATCGAACGAACAATGCATCCCAGAATGAGGTGATTCAGAGCTCAGGCGGAGGTAGAAGCAGGAGTGGGAGTGGGAGTGGAACTGAGATTCGGAGGAATCGCAGCATATCGGAACCCCAACGACCTCATTTGTCAGTCCTCACAGAAGCAACACCACCAGTTAGCACGGGGAATACGCGTATGGCTGGCGTGCAGGAAGAGACATTCTCGCCTAGTACGGGGCGTATAGTGGATGAGCCTCCACCTGCGCCTGAGTCTGAACCCGCCGAAAGACCGACGCGATTGAGACGCGCGAGGACAAATATCGGGAATAGATTCAGGAGTGATAGTTATACTGGTGATGAATACGATGAGAGGCTGGTGGATTTATTGGATACTGTTGGTATGTGCATTCCAAATGATGTAACATGACTTCCGCTGATAATATTCTTTAGATCCCGAAGTTGGAACACTGACGACTCTAACGAATGTACAAAACTCTCTTTTCATACCAGATATCCCCTACTTGGGCAATCTGATTAATAGGCGACCTACATATACACTTACACAACGACCGGCAGATCTTGAAGAGGGGGACTCCATTAGTGATGCGGATGGGGATTTGAACAAGGAAGAGCCACGACGACCGCAGACTCAAAGGACATATACGGGGGCGACGCTCAATACCATTTCATCGTCCGTGAACGATAATTATTATGCTGTTCTACCCCACGGGGTGTCTTTGCCGGGCTGGACGGAGGAAGAGAAACTGGAGTTGAATGATCATGTTAGGCATATGCTGCATTCGAGGAGGTCCAAGTTTAAGAGAGGGATGAAGGGATTTGGGCAATATTTAAAGAAACGTGAGTACATTCTAGATGAGGGCGGAGAAGAACTTGACTGACTTGAATAGCTCTTGGCTTCCTAGTTACTCTCTACGCAACACTTATCACCCTCTTTGGCCTTGCCTGGGTTCTATTCTTGATTGGTAAGTCCTAACATCTACCTATCTACAACAGATACTAACCCTTCGAATAGGCTGGATCAATGTCGGCGGCCGCAAAGACTATATTATTAACGTAATCGACAACGTCCTTGTCGCGCTCTTCGCCATCATGGGAGATGGCTTGGCCCCGTTTCGTATAGTTGACACCTACCACATGTGCTTCATCGCTCACTACCACCACCTAACCTGGCGTCTCCGCCGCGAACGAGCGCTCCCTAAACTAAAAAATGAGAACGACCTCCCTGCCGAACAACCCGAAGAAATCACAGAAGAGAAAGCCGAGTTTAGCGTCCTGTCGCCGGAACAAGTTCGCAAACTCGCACACCACCAGAGAAAGTTTTCGAATTCCCATTCATTTTACAAACCCCATGAAACGGCAACGCACAACGCCTTTTCACTCCGTCTCCTCGTCGCCATCGTCGTCCTACTAGACTGCCACTCCATGCTTCAAATCTCCCTCGGCGCCTGCACATGGGGCATCAGCTACCACCACCGCCCCTTCGCCCTCACAACCGTCATCCTATGCTGTTCCATCACCGTCAACATCACAGCGGGCGTGCTCATCGGAGTCGGCGACAAAAAGAGCAGGAAGAAGGATGTAGTGGAGCGAATGTTCAGACAGGATTTAACGGCCGATGCCATCAAGAAAGTCGAGAAGAAGCGCTTGAGAGAGGTGCAGGCGAACGGCGTGCTGGAGCCGCTGCATCACAGTGGGAACCTGGTTGTCGAGAGTAAGGATGATGGGAAGCCGATCAATCAGCACCCTGTTGCGCAAGCTGCGGTGGGGGCCGAGGGGCCGTGATGTGTTGGATACCCTACAATGTTCGTTCTTTACTCCGTACATACATATCATTTACGTCTTAATCTGGATATATTTTGCTGCTTCATGAACACTCACTCACTTTGAAAATCTTCCCGATGTTGATACCCCTATATTCCTCTGTTTTGTTTTCTCTTCTCCACTCCACTACTCCTATCATACATCATACATACATACATACATACACAATATAACGAAACATCCCTCACGCAAGTGCGTCGCGCCGCGTTGCGTCTCCATTCATTCATCACCTACCTATCGTATCCGGAATGGGATCTTCTCTTCTATATAAAAGAAACCCCTCCTCCCCACAGAGTAATTTATCTCGCGCCTCACAGGAGAGGTGAAATAGCTACTGCTGCAGATATCTTGCGAGCGAGTTCCTGTAAGATGTATCTCGGGGCTGGGCTGTTCGTTTTGTGCCTTTTTGTTCTTCTTATTGGTGTATGTAGGTGGGTAATCTTACTTCTTTACTGTCTGGCACGTGGCGCGTTTGTCGGTCTCTGTTTTGGGGCGCGGGGGGATGAGGGTAGTTGCTGTTATTTTTATATGTTCGTAAAGGTAGGTAGGTAGGTAGATTCACGATCCACTGGTCGTCTCGTCTAACCTTAAGACATGTTTCCTGCCCATTCATTTCCTCCGCCTCCGGCTATATAAAACATAAGCTGCAAGGTAGTGCCCAATCCATTCTATGACGTTGGCCGGAAGAAGTATCCCGAAACTTGTTGATTTATTCATTCCTTTATATACCTTCATTCTCTCGCACCTGGAACAATATAATTATTCGCGAACTTTGGATTTGTTCTTCTTCTTTTTCTTCTCTTATTCACCCATTAATCTTCCCGGGTTGCATCATCCAAGAGCATATACGGCCTCAATAGCAGCCTTTTGTGTGTCGGAGTCTGTTATGGTGAGGTAAGGCGTAGTACGTGACAGGGTATATATACATACTGCCAGAGGAGGTTGGGTCCTCTCTTCGTCTGTCTTAAAGGCTCGAGGAAGTAGATTCGTTTGTGTCGGTACTTAAGTCAGCCCCTGCATGCTATTTATTTTCCCCGTACATTATTACTACAGCAGCGTTCATATATATTTGTTGGTTGAAAGAAAGCCCCTTTTCAGATACGAGTTAATAACTCGGTTCGATTTCTTGGAAATGAGTTTGTTTTCAACTGCTTAATAGCCAGTTCCCTTCGTACCCTCTCCTACTTATAGCTATAAGGGATATCTTGCCACTTGACCTGCTTATTCGGGCCCCTTAATCTGGTTTGTCCTAAGATAGAAGCACTCAGGAATACTGTAGATGCACAAGGCAAGTGCTAAGTAATTGGTTGCTCAAATAGGCGTAATGGAATATCTATAATATGATTGAAAAGCAATAGTGACATGCTCCTTTCGAAGTCCTCATCTACTGGTCTTCCGTATCTTCTATGTACTCAAAGTCGGTGCTGGATCTCGGATTATGGTTTAGTATATCTCTAACTATAGAACAGCCAGCGAGATAATGGTAGAATGAAGAAGCCGATAGATCGATGTCCCCACCAGCGGGTAACCAGTCTCCACCTCCAGACTTCGGGTCGTCCCGCCAGCAAGCATTTCCCTCAATTTGATTGCGGGGCGGAGTCTTGGCACCTTGGCATTACAGTAAGCGGATCCAGTAAAACACCCACATGAGATTGTTGATGCCTAAGATTGTCATGTCTAAGAAACAAGGCTCTAAACATCTTGCAATTTCAGATTGCGTGCAATCATCTTTATGTACTCCCACTCTAAACTCCAAAGTTTGTATACTGTGGAACTCTTAGACAGGCCACCAAAAAATGGTCAGTAGTACACCCAAGATACTCAACCACGGGTGGGTGTTGCTGTGACTGACAACAATTACCCCGCATCAGTCTCTCAAGCAGGTATACCCCGAAAAGGATTCAGAAGCTAGTAAAGCAGCCAAAGTCGAGTAAGTGTGCATCAAACTAAGATCAGGAGTCTGTGTACTGACCACTTCCTGTGCAGTATCATCTTGGTTCACGGCTTAAATCCCAAAAGTAAGGACGACGAGGTGCATGCGATAAGTACCTAGACCGAGAATGGCAGACTCTGGCCTAAAGACGACCTACCAAAGAAACTCCCCAATGCTCGAATCTCTCTCTATATATATGACTCATCGGCGGTCTACGGTGGTAGTCAGGCAACCTTTGCCGACAAGGCAGACGAGCTCTTGGAGATTATCAGATGCGACCGGGAGGACTGGGAAGAGAGACCTCTCATTCTCATGGGGCATAGCCTTGGTGGGATCTTAATCGAGCAAGCCTTGATTAATGCTCGACAAAACGAGACATATCAGCATATTTATAAGGCAACGTATGATCTCATCTACTTGAAATACTTTCAATTTTTGACCGAGAATCATAGAGCATGCCTGGCCTTCTTCGGAACTCCCCATGAAGGTGGCTCAGAAACATTGGTCAGAGCGGGGAAGACAGCTGCAAATGTGGCTTTATGGCTAGGGTTTCAAAAAGGGGACAACATCGTTGGGACTTTGGACAAAGGTTCTATGTTTACAGACATCCTCAAAAACCACTTTCGGCAACAGTTTGAGAATTATCGGATGGTATCTTTCTGGGGTGACAAAGACGAGGTATGTTCCACTACCTCGAGTAACAGTGCAAGCCCTCGCAATTGACTGGAAATTACTAACCGATCCTTAACTTAGGTTGTCTCAAGAGAGAGCTCTAGATTTGGACTCTCCGGGGGTCGTGAGCGAATTGTTGAGTTGAAGGCTAATCATCACGGAGTTGCGGCTTTCGGCAACACTACAAGGGATGAAGATAATCTGAAGAAGGTTTTAAGTAATGTGGATTGGTTGTATGAGAAGGCCTTAGCATTGAGTATGTTGGAATCACTTCCCTCCCCTCTCGAAGTTATTGCGGCAGTCTTTGACGAAAATGATCCACTTCAAATTAGGATGGCTGGCCTTAGACGCTGAGGAATGTGAAGGGTGTTTTCCGTTTACATCAGACAGCGTTACCAATTCAATCATTCACATACAATAGATGTGCCCTAGACCTAATTGGTTTTAGTTGATCAGATTCGAAGCCGTCTTGAATGGTTGAAGGTGAGTACTACTTCGAAAAGCTAGAATCAATATCAGCGCTAACAATACACATATATAGGCAAACCCTAATCTGCTCCAAAAGCAACCGGATCTTGAGGCATGTACCGCATGATAAATCCAACTTCAATTTATTAGCTTGGGTGTTGAACTAATACCCGGTTGAGCAAACAGAATAAGTCACGAAAGACCTTTCGCGTGAAAGATGGCAAAAAGCTGTCGCCAAGAGAACAAATGATACTCCTAGCCTTTGCTTCGGATCACAAGTATGCTCGCCAATTCATCCCTACCCGCCAACCAGGCACCTTAGAATGGGTTTTAAACCAAAGTGATTTTCTTCGATGGACTGAAGATAAATCGTCGATGCCCCTTTGGATCAGCGGCAACCCTGGAATGGGCAAAACGGTGCTATCCTTATTTCTGGTGGAACTGTTTGAAAAACAGGGAAAGCAAGAAAATTTGAACACGAGAGTCATCTACTTCTTTTGCAATGACCAGGACGAAACTCGAAAAACGGGACTCTCGCTTCTCAAGGCATTGATACATCAATTCCTTCAGTCATCTCCTTTCTTAATACAGAAATACGTCATTCCCGAGTATCAAACACTAGGCGACAAGCTTTACACTTCTCTTGCAGGCCTCTGGGACATCTTCACCAAGATAACATGTGACCCCGCACTTGGCCCTGTTTATTGTGTGCTTGATGCCCTTGACGAATGCGAAGAAAGGTCACGAAACCAGCTTCTTCGTTGTATATCCGCTCACTTCACGGCTTCACCATCACAAAAGAACTTAAGGTTAATTCTGACAAGCCGCCCGTACGATAGTATTAGAAGCCAGTTGCTCTACTTCCAGATCATTCGTTTAGAAGCCGAAAAAGAAGAATACCACATCAATAGCGACATTGCAAAATATATAAAACCTGAAGTACAGAATCTAGCTTTGCTTCGAGGATATACGGAGGATCTGAAAGATAGGGTCGGCAAAACCCTTCGCTCCTCCGCAGATGGAATGTTCCTCTGGGTGTCACTCGTAATCACGATTCTCAAGCAGACACCCATTGGGAAGGTTGAGAAAAGATTGATAGAGGTTCCTGGAGACATTTATGAGGTTTATAAACGAGTCTTACTTGAGATTCCCGATGGCTCGGAAGACGAGGTGTCTAATATTTTGAAGCATGTTCTATTTGCATTCCGACCACTAACAATGATAGAGCTTGGAATTGTTTGTGGAATGCAACCAGAACACCAATCTGCTTCATCAATACCTCCTGAAGCGTTACATGGTATCAGAGGGGATGTCGGGCTTTGTGGCCCTCTGCTGAAGGTACAAAGCAATGATACGGTCCATCTTGTACACCATTCAGCCAAGGAATTTTTGCTCGGCTCCAGATACTTCAACCTTCAGGAATGCAGATTCAAATTCAACGAGCCAACAGTCCATTTTGAACTCGCCAAGTTATGTCTCCAATATTTGTCATTTAAGGAATTAGCTAGGGGTCCATTGGAAACCGCCTTCTGGCTATCCGACCAAGTTCTTTTCCAGGCGATCCTTCAACAAAGGCCGTATTTAGAGTACGCAGCTGTCTATTGGTATCGGCACATCAATCAAAGTAAGGACAGGCAACTAGAGCTTTTCGATCCAGTTAGGACTGTCCTCAGTTCCAAGTCGAAAAGAGACTTCTTCTTCCAGGTGCATCAATATCATTACAGAGATCACCTATATTGTGGCAACCAAAAACCTTTGCATATTCTTGTACGGGTTGGTCTAAGAATATTCATTGACCAGCTTCTCATATCACACTCCATTGAAATAGATGCAGAAGATGACTTTGGCTGGACCGCGCTACACTGGGCTTCAAGGCAAGGACATGAGG